AGACACACACACACACACACACACACACACACACACACACACACACACACACACATGCACGCACACACAAACACACACACACGCGCACGCACACGCTGTGGTCTGGCCGCAGGAGGTGCGCGACCTGGTGAGGGCTGCCGAGCAGCAGATTGCAGCGCTGGGCGCACGGCTGGGCCTGGCCCCCGCCCTGGCCCCCACCGCCGGCACCGCCGCCGCGGCCGCCGTGCGCGACCCCGCCTCCGAGCAGCAGCCCCTGGGCGGGCTGCTGGACTGCGGCGCCGCGCCGACGCCGCCGACGCCCGCGGACGCGGATGACCCGCAGCAGCAGCATGTGCAGCAGCAGCAGCAGCAGCAGCAGCAGGAGGCAGTGGAGGTGGTGGCGGCCTCGGGGCGGTCGCTGCTGAAGCGGGACCGCAGCAAGACGTACACGCCGGGCAGGCCGCGCACCAGCAAGCGGCACGAGCCGCTGGCAGGCGCCGAGGGCGGCCAGCACACCACACCACAGAGCAGCGGCAGCAGCATGCAGGCATCCCAGGGGGCAGCAGGTGGAGGAGGAGGCTCCGCCCACCAGCAGCAGCGCGGCGCCAGCGGCAGCGGCACGCCCGCCGGCGACTCGCCCGCGGCAGGCGGCCCCGGCGACGCCGCCGGCGGCGCCCCGCGCCGTGCCTCCATCATGCAGCGCACCAGGGCGGCGCTGCAGCTGTGGAAGTCGCTTCGGGTGAGCGCTGCGGCCGCCCACCTCAGCCGGGTGTCGCCCCCGGCCCTGCCGCCGTGCAGGGCAGCGGCGGCAGGGTTGGCTTTGGAGGGCCCTCCCTGCACAGCTGCAGAGCTTGCTTCAGGACAGAACACCCACCCGCTCACCCTCACCCCGCCTCCCTGGGCCCCTGTTGTTTGCTGCCGCCGCAGTCTAACGCCGCCACGCCCTCCACAGTGGTTGGCCAGCCCAAGCCCCCGCAGCTCTGACGCCGGGGTCGCCGCTCGATGCCACGCATGCCAGCGTGGGCCGGGGCGGCCACATTTGTTTTCGTGCCCCACCCGGTTGGAGGGGCATGGCAGGACGGCGGGCAGCGAACAGGTCGCAGCCTGCCCGCGGCCCGCCCCTGCCTCCCGGCACCGCCTCCTCGGCCCACACGTCCCAGCCGCTCCAATTCCTTGCTTGGCATTTTTGTTTTTTCCCGGCCCGTCCTGTCTCTCGGCACCGCCCCTCCTACCACGCCCTCCCTGACCCATACCTTGTGTGCCCTGGCCCCGGCCTCTCTGCGACCGCCACTCCATTGCGCTGCCTCTTCCCCCAACCAACTGGCCCGCCCGCTCAGGCTGCCGCCAGACGCCAAGCTGCACGCATGCGCCGTGCCTTTTGCCCCCGCACGGCGCCTGCCGAGGCTTGTGCCGCCTGAATCCAGCCGCCGCCACGGCTTGTGCCCAAGCACAGCTGCGACCCCCGCTAGCTTGCAACCTGCCAGCTCCCTTGTCCCTGTGCCAAGAGTGCCAAGGAGGCACAATTACAGAGCGCCTGCTTGCAGGCAAGAGCTGGGCAAAAGCATGGCGGTTGGGGGCGGCGCGAAGCGTGAGCAATCAGGCGACCTACGCTTCACTGCGGGTTTACTAGTGCAACATGTGGGACGGGTGGGGTTGGCATGTTGATGTTGATGTGTTGGTACACGTTGTGGCCGCCGGGGCGGAGGGCGGCCTGGCAGGACGGTAGAGACCGAAGTAGGGCACGGGAGAAACGGACAGGAGGACAGGGGGGTGAGGAAAAGAATGGGGCAGAGCGGGTTGCATGGGTTGCCAACACAAGGTTGCTGTGTTTGGTTTGTGGGGAGGGAGCCCCGCAAAAGGCTGGGGACAAAAGACAAGCTGGCTTGCTTGTGAAACTAGGAGACAACTGGGCATACACCACGCCCGGGAAGCAGGGCGGGCAAAAGGCAAAGGAGGGCAAAAATCGCTCGACAGCTGGCTGGCGGGCAGCAGGCATGGGGTGGGCAACAGGCATGCGCTGCAAAACTAGTGCTACAAAGTATCCATCATTCATAATTCGCTGCTGCTGCGTCGCGGGCTGGCACGCGCTGCTGCTCTCGGCCGGCGGCGCGGCATATGCACGGCAACCACGGATATGCGCGGGAGCGGCGGGGGCGGCTGGCCTACACACAGGGGCGGCCCGTGGGCGGCTCACCGGCCCGCCGGCGCGCCCGCGGCCGCCGCAGCCGGCAGGAAGGCGACGGCGACGGTGATGTCGTCGCATTGCGCGCCCCCCAGCTTGGCCGCCCAGTGCGCCCTGGCCTCCTGAGCCAGCGCCTCGGCCGCCGCCGCCGCGGTGGCGCACCGGCTGGCGATACGCACCGCCTCTGCGCTGCCCACAAACTCCCACAGCCCGTCGCTGGCGACGATGAGGATGTGCTGGCTGGCAGCGGCGGCGGCCGAGGCGGCGGCGGGGGCGGGGGCGGA